CTCATTTCCTTTTGAAGCATAGGTCTAAATTTAGATGTTAAGTAACAGGAAGTTGCCAGTTCCAACCGCACTGCATTTAGAAGATTCATTATTCCCCTGAAAGTGGAAGATAACATGTGACCAGTTCTAGTAGAAAAACAAAAGTCACCAGATAGATTTAAGAAACAGGTTTATTGTATGGTTTCCTTCAATGCTTTAAAAGCAATGTTTATAACCCAAGTCAATGATGGCAGCTCCCATATTCCTATCCTCACAGGTTCCCCCTAATGAGTTCTCAACAAAGTGAAGTTGCACTTTAGGGCCTCATTCACACACAACACAAGAGCAAAATTGTATATTGTGTATATATGTACATGTGCGCGCACTTTATGCAATCCCAGAATGCATAATTCGTAATAGAAATTGTAATGAACTGTACGCGCGCATATGCATGTAAAATACGCAGAAATACGCTGCCCGGACGCATCTCTGTTCCATTCTGTCTTTGCACATTTTTACGCTACCCAAGTATACGGCTCCATACGCAGCTATGTGTACGTAACCATTTATTTGCATATGGGACAATGCGCGTGTATGCGCATATACACAGCGTATTATAGGGCAGTGTGAATGAGGCCTAATTAAAGATTCTTACCTGCCTATGTCTCATTAATATTGAGAACAGCCATTCCACTCAGCCAGCACACTTGCTAAAAACTTTCCAACAGTATGCCAAGTCTGGTCACAGATGGTCTGATATGTTTGGGGAAGATTCAACATATAATCAAAGAATATTGGTTATTGAAATGAACCAGTTACACATTTTGGGGGTTAGTCACTAAAGAGCTGAAGGATCCAGCCGTAGCTTCTCGAACCGAAGGGCTGCTGTACGGGCTATTCACAATAGCAGGCGAAGGCAGCCGAGCGGCTCAACTGAGCCGAAGGCATATGCTTCGGCTCCACTGTTCGCGCCGTAGCGACAAATCAGCTTCCCCAAATGACCTGGGAACGATGATCTGTCATTAAACAATAACAACTGGGTGGAGCCGGCTATGACGTCACGGCCGGCTCCACCCAGTTGTTATTCATTGGCCAGGACCTGCTAGAAGACTTTAGCAGCTGCCCGCCAATAGGAAACAGTTGCGCGAAGCTAGCCGTCACCACTGTCTCCACCCAATTTTTTCTTTTCTTTCAAATATCTTTATTTGTTTATTTTACTATTTGTTTACATTTTTTAAATATTTTTTCAACTATTTTTTTTATTTTCCCCCATTCATTTAACCGTTTTGCTATTCAGCTCGGTACCTTACTGCCGTTCGGCCCCTATGAGAATGACTGAAGGCAGCCGATGTACGGCTGAAATGAATAGCCGAACAGCGTTCAGCTCACTTCCATTCGGCTGGGTTATTCACTCGACTGCCTTCGGCAGCTTTGTGAGTAACCCCCTTTGTATTTGTCTTGTGTGACTTGTACAATTTTGGAGCCATTGGTATTTGCACTTTTTACAGTAGCAGATATGTTTTTCATCCAGGTGACTTATGTTTGGGTTTTCTGGTACTTTAAATCAGAGTGTCATCAGGGTCACAATATGCCCTCAGTACAACAGCAAAAAGTTTCCTAGCACACTCACCAGCCAGCATGCAAAAAAACTTGTCTCACCGCTAAGGTTAAAAACAGAGGTTTAGATACACATCCTATGGAGAAAATGTGAAAGCCACATCGCCTCGCCAGGGCACCTCTATGTAGTGCGGTAATATGCCCTCAGTGACACAGCATGCGCAGTAAAGATAGCACATCCTCCATTGCTGGTATTACAACTGACAGGAACTGAGTATCTCCGCAGATAAATACACACAGCCTGATTTCTGGACCATGAAATGTAATAAGCTTCCTGTATAACACCCCCTCCTCCTCCTCCTTCACATTACCAGTGTTGTGAGTCTGATCTCGGCCCTTTCACTTTTTACAGTCTGGAATCAGTTCCCTTTTAAGCCATTCAGGGAGTTTCTATTTCTGAGGTATCTTCCAGTAATTTTCAGACTCGCTTTGTTCCTATAAAATGTGTCATATTTCCCAAACTAAATAAAAACAGCTGGCTCGAAAGATTCATTGCCTGTGGTAAATACCAGTCATGTGATTCAGCAAAGTCACTTTCGGCATGCACACTCTGTAACCTCTGCTGCAATCAACCAGCATGATGGGGCTCCTACAATGGGACAAGACTTACTATTTGGCATGCAGCAATAGAATGCGGGACATCGTCTTCTTGTTTTAGTAAAAGTGAAATGATGGCCGTATTTTTGTCAGATACAATTTAACATATGTGTACTTTATGATACCCACGATCATTTGTTCTTGGTGGAGGTGGGCAGAAGGTTGCTGGATTTTGAATTTTTCCAGCTGAACACTGCTGTCTCCCTCCTCAAGCTTGGCATAGACTTTAGAGAAGAGCGGTTGGACACGCAGGAACAATAGTTAGAGTTTCTTAAATTTGTTGAATGTTCAGGTTTTTGTCACTGGAAAGCAGAATGAGTCAGACAGATTTAGAAGACTTAATTGTTACTGGATGGAGAACAGTAGCAACAGCCAGGGCCGGTGTTGCTTGCACCCCCCCCCTCACATGGTGCAACCCCCAATCCCCCCTGCCCTGCGCAGCCCCCTCCTGCGGGTTAGCTTCTGCAGGCAACAGGTGTATGTAATTTAATTTGAAATAGCCAATAGCAGAATGGCTATTGAAACCACCCACTGAGCAGAGGAGCGAACCTGAGAGAACAAGTTGTCAGTTACGCTCCTCTGCTCAGTGGGCGGGTGCAGTAGCCAGCCTGCTATTGGCTTTTGCAATTTGAAATAGACGGGGGGCCGTGGGTATGAATGGTCAAGGCTGCGCTCTAGGTAGCAGTGCACCCTAGGCGGCTGCCTAGTTTGCCTAGTGGCAGCACCGGCCCTGGCAACAGCAACCATATTCTTAATCTGTGTAATTAATAATTCCCCTCAACAGTGGTGGGTTGTCATTCTGTATTGGCACCTATAGATGAGACATCACTGAATCTGGTAGTTTTCAACAGGAATAAGTGGGCATCATCTCATGTCTGGGAGTATCTTAAAACAAGGCCTTAGCGTCACCCTCAGCTTAAAATTACTTTACTAATGGAAAACCCAATTGATCCATATGAGTCATATGAATGTTCAGGCTTAGTATTCCTTGAGTTCCATAGTATAGAATAGGGGTGGTGGACAAATCAATACAGAATTCAGAAGCCAGTGGGATTTATTTTTTAAGAGCCAGCACCATTGACAAAGACTACAGCAAACCCCAAAATTTGGGAGACAGCTGTAATTTTTAAGGAGCATTGGCTTCCTGGCTCCTGGGATTTTTCCATCCCTGGTAGAGACTGCTTGTTGTATCTCTGGCAGAGAAAGGCTGTTATGCATCAGCTCAGCTCATAGGAGAGCCCAGAGAATCAAAACTATAACCAAGTTACATAGGACTTAGAACGAGATACGCCAAATAGACTGTAAGCTACCTTTTTATGTGTTATGCTCCTTGCATTTTTTGCCACCTCCTCTTTGCCAATGGCAAGTGACCACTGATCTGTGTGGCTATTGACAGTCTAATAAATGACTGCTGTTTCCAAGTGATAAATTTTTCTTTTATTCCAAAGCTGTATTTCAGCAACACTTTATACCACCACCTACCCTCCCAACATACTAGCATGGTCACAACTCCTTGCTTGTCTCCTCTTTTACTTGAAAGTCTGCCAGTAGGAAAAAACAACAAGCAAATGAGGAGGAGAGACATCCTGACCTTTGCACATGAAGAAGTTTGTTCAGTGAAGCTCTGTTTTTAGAGACAAACATACCTAGTTAAATATTCCCTCATATCAGCTGATTTTATCAGCGTGACCTGCTACCACCTCTTCTAACAGTCTAGATTTCCACTTCCCTCACACTGACCTATCTCTATGAAGGTACTTGAACTTATAACTAGACAGTGAATCTCTTTGACTGTATTCATTTGAATTCTGACAGCAAAATAAAACACAGAGATTTATGGGAGGGAAAAAGAGGCAACATCCTTGCCTAACCCTGTAAGACTGACCATGTGAGTTATAGTTATGAAAACAGAAGACAGTGAATATGATATACAGGAAACGGGAGCAAAATGATGAGTTGCTTATAGGTAGTAAATCAGATTGTTTGCCTCTTTGGAAGATGAACATTGGCTGGTTCCTATGGATACATTCTTGATTTTTGCTCTAGATTTTGTGAATTAGGCCCAGTGTCCTATGTAAATCAAGGTAACAAAAATGTAATTAGCACAACAGGTATGTCTACCCGACAATGAAAAGCATACCACAGGAATTTTGAAGAGGGGCGTTAGAATCTGTTATCTTATGAACCTTTCTAGCATCAGCCAACTAAAATAGAACTGTTGGGTGGACTGAGGATTTAAAGTGGCATTTGGAAGGTGCTAGAATTAATGTTGCGTTCTGACCCAGTTATTAGAGTGGACCTTTCAGTAACTTTACAAGTCTGCAGGAATACATTCCTAACAATATACAGCAGCAGTATTATTCCCCCGTATCATCAGTCTGCTACAGGCAGGAGGAAGCATTTCCATTCTCTTCTCCCCTGGTGATCATTGTAAAATTGTACTCATTAGGTGAGGGGCTGCAGTGGGACTGATCTTTGTATCTGAGATGTGGACACACAGCCCTGACCTGCGCAGGCATCAGAACTTACATAATGATGTCATCTCAGAGCCAGCGTCTCAGTCCAAGAAGTAGATGCTGACCATGGGTGATGCCTGAACACAAATTGCTCTGTCCTTCTGGGAAGAAAAGCAGAAGACAACATTGGCACGGAGAGTACTGCGATCTAGTACTTAATAGCTGTAAGTTCACTTAACATGAAAAAATATATCCAATCCTAGGTCCACCTCTGACATAAATTACCAAAACTAAAATGATAAAATGACATGACAATGATGTAAAACACATTGTAAATAGAAATGTTTAATATATTAAAATCAGGCAGTGAGGCGCATTGGACTCATAAATACACAAATATAGACAAGGACTGTGCAACTGGGTCAAGCCCCGCCCAGGGCCATAAACAAGGTCCATTTCATTCAGTTTAATACTGCTTGGCATGAGAGCTTCATGGTCAGGCTGAGGATTATTTGTGCAGAGCGCCGTACCGGAGAGGCTTTCCTTCGGAGTGTCACACCAGTGTTGTAGGATAAACAAAATGTGATGTCAAAAGACAGTGCAAAACAGTTTGGTAAACAATAGAGGTCTTATGAGAAATATATCAAAGAGCTCAACAGCTCAATACTGTCCCTTCTGAATACTGCAATCTTTCGCCGTGTGACGGAAACGATGACCTCAATACAGGATCATTTCTATCACAGCGAAAGAGGATTTTTCCATCTTTCTTCAGTACAAATATTCAGCTCAACAGATGAATGTTTATCCATTTCCTCAGACATTTCCCTTTTCTGTGCACTCAACACTTGGTCCGTCTCTGGTGTAATACACGTAATGATAAGACAGGTTCACGGTTCATGAGCTCAATGAGGCGAGTCTGTCCAAGTATTGACACTTTTGTACCGTTCACCTCTAAGACCTCATCTCCAACACGTAGAAGACCTGAGTAAAGCTTGGCCATGTTAGCGTCGCTCATTTCCTGTACATATATACCTGCAAAAGAGCAAAGATATGTCACGTTATTGAGCTGCATGTACAGGACAATGGCAGCTTCAATCCTGATCGGGGCTGAATAGTGAATCAAGGAAGGAGGACAGCCCCGTCGCTCCTTGAGTCACTACTTTTGAAAAGAAGTCAGAAAATGCAGCTTCCAAATTTATAGCTGGACAGTTCCTCTTTATATTGAGAAGAGGACATCTTGGCTTTCACTCACCTGAGTCAGGTCTTCCATTACCGGATGAAATCCTGAAGCCAAATGTGCCACTTTCAGGGCGCTGCAATTCTAAAAGACGCGTACCATCTGGGTAAACTTCTGCCACTTTCCCCAACACACGTGCCTTTCCAGGAGATCCGATATCCTCCACACTGAGGGCACGCCTGAGCAGATATAGATCATTAATGATGCATGATCCAGGTATAGAAATAGTCTGTCTTTTGGAGCAATGGCTAGTGAGTGTTTTCAGCCTGGTCCTTGTATATGTAACCACTGGCTCTCCTAAGTGTGAGTAATAGGCAACTATTCATAATGACATTTGTTCTGTATTAGTAAATGTGATCCATACCCAGATGTACTACAAGACCATGGCATAACCTGTAAGTCATAAGTAGGCAGGAGAACTATTAGTAATTTGTACAATTATCTGGACGATCTGGTTCATAACCTCAGTGAAGGCATGCATAAACCAGGTCTGGACTGGCACCTTGGCAATTCTGCCAATGCCCAGAAGGGTTGGTGTATCTGACAGTGTCTGTGGACCTGTAAGAGCTCCTGTGGGCAACTAAGTCTCAGTAAGTGATTCTTAAAGCATAAACCCAAGAAGGAACATGTAATATATTGCATCTTACCAGAACTTGGAAATGGTAGCTCCATTAGATTACATTTTTCAGACCAAGAACATTTTAAGCAAGTACAGAGAATACATGTTGTTCTTGCCAGAAATGCCGTATCCTATGAAATGGAAGCTGAAACAGTCATCTTTCTTGTGTAAAATACTAATCCTATCACCCCGCATGTAAGGCAGACATGACTGAAGTCCAGCCTGGGTGGTATGACACCTTCCATAGATAAAATGGAGGAATCAGTGTAGCCACCCAGGGACAGGAAGTGTGTTACTGTCAGGATCATCAAGTGAAAACAAAGGGGGAACAAGAAAACTAACTCATCCACCACATCTAAGGTCTGGTAAGCTGCAATACAATACATTTTTGTTGTTAAGTTTAGATACACTTTGAACCCCTTGTAATGGTAGGGCAATAGCCAAGTTGTCAGGGGCGGCCATAAATAACTGCTATTAATCCAGTGGTCTGCTAAAAAAAAAAAAACAATGCTGGCCTTCAAATTTCCTATAGACGTGAGATTGTTTTATGCAGAGTGGGAAACAATCTCATTTTGTCTCCATCCAATGCCTCCAGCATCCTGAAATCAATAGAAATGAGAGATTGGGCAGGTTATGGGCTACTGGTTTGTTATCTCTTTGGATTTCTTTACTGTAATGAACGGACCTCCTTGTATGATTGCAGTAATATTATACGACTATGAAGTAGCTGCGACACGTCATACAGCTCCCAGTATTTATAGCTCTTGTGTGCCTGTGTTTTATATTGCATAACATTGTCAGATTTCCCGTTAGTGTTATGTATCGCCTTCATACCTTGGCGCCGTGTTGACATCTCCCGTGATGTAAACAGCAGAGCGGTCTGATTTTCCCAACAAGTTCTGCACAGAGGAGGCTTTCCTTGGTAAGTGAAATGGTGACATCTGGTGGTAAATGAGAAGACCTGAATGTTACAATTCTTCTATAAGACACCAACATTGTGGACATCCTTGTCCATCAAATACCAACATACAGAGTACCGGAGGTCCTATCAGTAGCAATAGACGACATATAAACAGCATTTCAACAAAAGTAGCTGAAAATTTGCGTCATCCGTGCAAGAAGTCAGAATGAACATTCACTCGTTCCATAAAGCTAAAATCCAGGCCAACAGCTAAATACTCAGAAATCACTTATAGTAATTAGGGATGCGCCGATACCGATACTAGTATTAGTGCCGATACCGGGTATTTGGGCAATTACTCGTATTCACCCAAATGCTCCGATACTGGCGATCCGGTGTTCTATCACTTCTCCTGACCATGAGATTTCTGGACTTCCTGGGCATGTGAAGGGAGTCCAGGAATCTCACATGCTACTGCGCATGTGCAAGTCAAGAAAGGTTATGGACCCATTGTTATAACGCAGTCCAGTCATTTCACAGCCGCATTTCTTCCCATATAATGTCAATAAAAACAATTACTTATAACATGTAAATAATATATAACAATCATAAAAACCTAAACATATATACTATCTATATATCTATATATACACATACATGTACATATACACACACAGCGATAAATATATATATCATAGATTTTTATTGTTATATATTATTTAGATTTTATACGTTTTTTTTATTATTATATACCAAGAAATGCGGCTGTAAAATCCATAACATTTCTGGACACGTACATGCGCAGTAGCATGTGAGATTCCTGGACTCCCTTTACATGTCCCCCGGAAGTCCAGAAATCTCACAGGGTTCGGACAACTGATAGAACATCGGCAGTGCCGATGGAGCACGGAGCAGGCTTCCTGATTGGCTAGGAAGCCGGCTTCACTTGTTGCCAGGAAGGAAGCCGGGCAGCACCTCACGACTCGCTGCCTAGCTTTCTGATTGGTCAGGAAGCCAGGCAGCCTCGGGAAGTGACGCCGGTGTTCTTTCAATAGAACCTCGGCTTCCTAGACAATCAGGAAGCCGGGCAGCAGGTCATGATCCACCCCTTGTTTTCCTGATAATCGGGGCACACAGCACCGGTAATGGTGAGTACCGGAAAATAAAATATCGGTACTCGAAACCAAAAAACCGGTATCGGTGCAACCCTAATAGTAATAGTTCTACCTGCCAAAGAGCTTGTATTTCTCTCCACACTTTATTGACATTTACAGAGCTCTGCCACAAATCACAGCTCTGTCCGATAGGGCAGAAGACCTGACTTACCACTGCTGCAGTTTAATAACATTACATGCCTTGTTCCTCCCCCAGCCTGTGACTGGACAGTAAAAGGAGAAGCAGCAGACTGATGAGCTTATCTGTCACTCTGCTCTCTCCTATTATCAGCATGTTCCTTATTAGCACATGCTCACTGCAGCACAAATGATAGGCTCCTTGTGCTGCTTTTCCCTCTCCCAGGATGAGCTCTGCTGTACAGCAGACTGCAGGGATGATAGCAGGTCAAATGCACTGCTTGTATTTAAAAAAAAAAAAAAATACATTTAAGCTGGAAACACATCTTTCAGGATGGAACCTTTTCCCCCGATGCGTTTTTCATTGCAATCTTTAAAAACACATTAATAAGCATTTCAACCCCCATCAACAAATTGATTGTAGTGGAAAACGCATCAGGCGAGAATGAAAAGGTGCGTTTCCAACCTCCATAATGTATCAGGGAATAGAGAGCTGCATTGATTGGTGTCTTTTCCATCTGCCTGGTGCTCAGCCTTAATGCTGCTTAAATGATGGCATATTCATACGCCACATGATGAATACAGATGGGGCCCTGCCACCAAAACACACAGCTCAATACATGGTGAGTAAAATAGAATGAAAGGCATGTGATGCTGCAAGTCCCCATTAAATTGTCCTAAATAGGACACCAAAAATGTAACATGCAGAAATGTGAATGGGTTCTATGAAGCACAACGGATTATTTGAGGCCCATGCATTGTGGCTGCATTGGGAAATTCAGCAAAGGCAGACACCCATCATGGTTTGTGATCGGTTTTATAGTCAGTGGGAGTTGTAATTGTGTCCACCCTCCACCATCATGACTGACACAAGGCAGACATCTATGGAATCAAGTACCACATGTCGTATTTGTGTAAGCACACACCACCGCAACATGGTAGTGTGAACTGTTCCCACCCGTGCCAAGGGTGCCTTGTCTTGCATTTGGGCTGTTCTGGAAAAGCATCGAATGCAGCCCAAACGCATACGGTGTGTACAGGCCCTTAGAGGGTTTACTGGAGCCTTTCTATATACAAAAGTTCCTAATGACCAGTTGTAGGGATGCAGTGATACCATTGTTTTTCAGATCGAGTACTGATACTATTCCTCAAGTACTCACCAATACCAATACCTTTTTTTAGTGTCATGTGACAGTTTTTCTAAAACAATACAGACTAATGATTTTAGGACAGTGGTGGAGCGCCAGAACCCGGCAGCTGCAACCTCTGAGACCCTGGTAGTTCTGCCACAGACTCCAAGCTGTGGAGGGACTGCAAATATCAGCAATACATTATACAGCAATGCAGAATACCACTGGCTATAGAGGACTACAAATCCCAGCAATACATTATACAGCAATGCAGAATACCACTGGCTATAGAGGACTACAAATCCCAGCAATACATTATACAGCAATGCAGAATACCACTGGCTATAGAGGACTACAAATCCCAGCAATACATTATACAGCAATGCAGAATACCACTGGCTATAGAGGACTACAAATCCCAGCAATACATTATATAGCAATGCAGAATAGCACCAGCTATAGATGACTACAAATCCCAGCAATACATTATATAGCAATGCAGAATAACACCAGCTATAGATGACTACAAATCCAAGCAATACATTATATAGCAATGCAGAATAGCACCAGCTATAGAGGACTACAAATCCCAGCAATACATTATATAGCAATGCAGAATA